GCCGGGACCGGTGGAGGAGTCGATGCAGACTGCCCGCCCCGCCCCCCGCCCCTCCTGTGGGCAGCTGGGACCGAGGGCTGAACTAGCTCAGGGCAGCCCCGAGGCCCAGGTCCTCTGGCCACTGAGGGTCTCTGGTCAACCCCGCTCAGGCCGAACCATGAAATCAAGCAGAACCTTTAAACCCGGCCTCTCTCTCCAGCACCCTCTCCGACCCCTGGACGAGCCACGTGTCACTTGCCGGACACTGCCCCACGAGGTCCACGACTCTCCCACTGTCCAATGTCTCGTTTCCTCTGACTCGACGCCCCTCCAGCCCCAGTGCAGGGGCAGCCCGCACCCCCCGGCCCCAGGGGACACCCACGCCGGCTCTGGGTGCCCTGAGCCCTCAAACCTAGCTGGCTGCCCCCTACAACAGCTCTCGGACCATCCACGCCCTCATTCACGGTGGGGCCTGGGGGAGACGGAGGGCGGGGCCCCAGCTCCCTCCCCATTGCTCAGGGTCCCCAGGAGGGCCGGTGCGGGGCCAGCCACCCGCCCCCGGGGCCGCCGAGTCCCCATGCACAAGACGAGTGAGGACTGACCCCGCCCGGCCACACTCGCCCCCGCCCACCCCCAGGCCCTTCCCCACACACCACGGGAACAGGCCAGAGCCGAGGTGGGTGTGTCGGGTTTATTGACCGTCTGGCAGAAGGATGAGGCGGCAGACGCGGCGGGGAGGCCAGGCGGGCGCTACCTGCGGTACCAGATCCGGAGCCTCTTCTCCCGCTTGATTTTTTTCTGCAGCTGCAGGATGCCGTACAGCAGGGCCTCGGCCGTGGGCGGGCAGCCTGCGGGCGGGACGGGCGCGCCTCAGCTTCCCCACCAGGCCCAGCGCTGGTCTGCCAGCCGGCCAGCCCTCCAGCGGAGTCGGGCACGTCCAGGCCAGCGCCCAGGTGGGGAGGGGTGAGGCGGGCCCCCAGCCCAGCATCCCCTTCGTCCACACCCGGGGCCGCAGGGGCTGGCCCCACGCGGGGAAGGAGCCAGCGAGGTGGGCAGCACCCGAGCTCGTGACCCTGGCAGCTGTGACCCCGAGGACTGACCTTTCGGCCACGACACGGGTGGCGTGGAGGCTCAAGCTGCCCCGTCCCCTGCCCCCGTGACCTGGCCTAGGGAGGAGTGCCGACGGAGCCCAGGCCACGCTGGCCCCTCCCGGCGGAGCCCTGGACAGGAGTGCGGGCAGGGGAGATGAGAGGCGCAGAGTGGCTGGGCCAGGTGGGGAGGCCCACACAGTCCCCAGGCTAAGAAGGGACCTCCTGGAGAAATGGCCCCCACGGCCCCCCGTCCCCACCCCAGCTGGAAGCAGCAGAGGGACGTGTCACCACCTGGAGGAACAGCCCAGGACCTGACACGCCTGCAAGGGCAACCACAGCCCCAGGTGGCCAGACAGACAACTGTCACGGTCATCTACTTCCAGCTGACCCTCGTGTCTCCACCCAGGCTCCAGGCTCAGTGCATGGCAGTACTGTCACCACAGGCCATTGGATAGATAGGGAAACTGAGGCTCTGACAGGAACGGAGACTTGCCAGAAGTCAGGTGTGCCAGAAGCAGGAAATGAGCAAGGATCTGGCTTCTGGTCAAGGCTCACAAGCCCACAGGGTATACTCCTATGCATCCCTAGAAGCCCCATCCACTGTGCCCACCCCACCCAACAGGCAGGGCTGGGCGTGCTGGTTAGCCTCTGTCCCCCCAGCCTGAGACCTCTTTGGGGCCCAGTGCTGCCCAACACAGGTCCAGGCCTGCAAAAGCACTCAATAAATGTTTGCGGAACGCTAAACATGTCAACACCATTTTCCAGTTAGCTCTAATGCAATGTGAAAACCTGTCCCTGCACCTTTTTGAGGTGCCAGAATGTGACTGAGACTTTTCTGGACGACTCGGAATCATGACCTTGAATGTCCTCTGCTCTCTGGAGACCGGGGTGGGCTCTCTGCGCCCACACTAAGAGCTAAGCTTCTCTGTCCTGTCCCGGGGGTAAATACCGCCGCCTGGGGACGGCCCCCGGCTGACCGCCATGCACGGCGTGGGAGCCACACAGGGCGGCAGATGAAATAGAGGATGCCCAGTTAGATGTGAACTTCAGCCAGCCAGCTGACCCCTTTTAGTATAAGCGTACCCGAATGTTGTAGGGGACATACTTACACTAAAAGGCAATCATCCGTTGTTTCCCTGACGTTCGCGTTTAACTGGGCCCCCTGGTGACCCCGGCGTCTGAGAGTCTCGCCCACCCTTTGGGAGAACTCGCGGACACCGGTGCAGACCTCCAGGAACATTTTTCTGTTGTTAAACGGCCTTTCTTTGGTTTTGCTTCCATGAGGCGGAACCCTATAAAACCGGCCGAGTATCGGCAGTTCCGCATGGCTCAGTCTAAGCCCCCTGACCCCGGCGTGGTCTGATGTCTGCATAAAATCGAAGGCACTTCAGTCGGGGAGCCCCTTGGGGGACCGTGGAGGGGAAGGCTGGCTGTCACTCTTCTGCTCGGACCCAAATCCGCTAATCCTTCCAGCGGGGCGAGCCTGCCGCCTCCGAGGGGACGTGCGGCCTCCGTGAAGGGGGTGAGCACCGGGCACGGGCCCCTTCCTGCCCGAGACGTGGGGTCGGCTCACCTGGGACGTAGATGTCCACGGGCACGATGCGGTCGCAGCCCCTGACCACGGAGTATGAGTAGTGGTAGTAGCCGCCTCCGTTGGCGCAGCTGCAGGAGAGGAGAGCCGTGAGGGCCGCGCCAGCCGCCCACCTCCCCTTTTTGGGGCCCTGCCCAGCCCACCCCGCTGCCAACTGCAGGCAGGGGCCGGGCTGTCAGGAAAGGGCAAGAACCGGGACAGGAAGCCACAGGAAGGACACAGCCCCAAGGCCTCCTGTGGGACCAGGCGGAGCAGGAGCAAAGAGACAGACCCTCAACACACGACGCTCAGCCAGAGAACCAGACACAGGACACACAGGGTGTGATCCCATTGATGTGAAATGTCCAGAACAGGCACAGCCACAGACAGGAAGTGTGTTCCTGGTTGTCAGGGGCTGGGGGGAGAAGACGGGGGGGCGGTGACTGCTGATGGGGACAGGATTTCCTTTGGGGTGATGGAATGTTCTGGAACTGGATAAAAGTGACAGTTTTACAACACTGTGAATGCACACAATTGCCCACTTTAAAAGGGTGAACTTCATGGTACATGAATTCTGTCTCAACAAAAAAACTAAGTGACTAGCCGGCTTTTAACGACGTGGGGAAACGAGCGTGAGATGACGGCGAGTTAGAGAGCAGAGGAGGGTGCAGAGCAGAGCACTCTGCAGAGCAGGACGGCGTTTCTGTTCATAAGGCGGAGAAATGGACAGGAACTGGACGGGCGTCGGGGTGGCGGAGCCACTGTGACCACAGCAGGGGCCGCTCACGCAGACGCCTCAGCCACCGGCCTGCTCTCTGCAGAGGGGGCACTTGACTGAGCGTCACGTATACCGACCACCTTGATCAGAGGGACGCACGGAACGCAGACGGGAGGAAACAGCCAGGTGTCGCGGCCCTGCCCGGCACTCACCTCCCCATGGACACGACGTAGCGAGGCTCCGGCATCTGGTCGTAGACCTGGAAGACACGGCAGGTCTGCGTGCGGCCCCAGCCGGGCGGGCGGGGGGGAGGCGGGGCCGGGCCTACCTTGCGGAGCGCGGGGGCCATCTTGTTGGTGAGCGTCCCCGCTACGATCATCACATCCGACTGGCGGGGGCTGGCACGGAAGACCACGCCGAAGCGGTCCATGTCGTAGCGCGGCGCCGCCATGTGCATCATCTCCACAGCGCAGCAGGCCAGGCCGAAGGTCATGGGCCACAGCGAGCTCTGCGGGGTGGCCGGGGTTAGCCCGCGAGTGGGCGCCAGGCCCACGGTGTTTAAAGAAACGGGGCGATTGCACAGAGAAGTCTAGAACTAGCCTTTCTTGAAGAACAACGGGTCCACCACGCCCCCCAGGGCAACCGTGTGACTTCCAGACCCTGTCACCGGCCCGAGTCCGCTGCCCCAGCAAGAAGGCAGTGAGCGACGCCTGTGGGCCAGCACTTCCCAGCAGCCCCGTTACGAAACGAAAAAAAGTTGAAAAAACCCAGATGAGATGATTTTTTTTTTTTTGTGAGGAAGATCGGCCCTGAGCTAACATCTGCCAACCCCCCTCTTTTTTTGCTGAGGAAGACTGGCCCTGGGCTAACATCCGTGCCCATCTTTCTCCACTTTATATGGGACGCCGCCATAGCATGGCTTGCCAAGTGGTGTGTCGGTGCGCGCCTGGGATCCGAACTGGCGAACCCTGGGCCGCCACAGCAGAGCGCGTGCACTTAACCACTTGCACCACCGGGCCAGCCCCTGAGATGAGTTTTAATGTGGTTCACGTGACCCACTGTATCCTACGTCCCCTCGTCCAACACGGGCCCTCGCTGCTCCCCACATGCGCAAGTCTGGACCCTAGGGCTCAGACCTTGCAAAGATCCTGCTCCCAACGCCTCCTGGTGTCCGAGGACTCCAGGTGCCCATTCCTCCGGGAAGCCCTCCTGGCTGCCCTCCAACTGTGCCCTCCGGCCGTTTGGTGCCGTTTCCCCCACAGCTGAGCTCCTCTGCTCGTCTGTGCCGAGTCTGGACCTGACGTGGCCCCGGTGACCCACAGACGTGCTAACGCGGGTGACAGGCCTCAGCCATGCAGTGTCTCTGGGGGTTCCCAGTCATAAACAAGGCCGCAGGGGACATCGGCATCCTGGGGCTGTGGGTCTGGTAGGGTGTCCACTTTGCTGTCGTCGTTATGCAGACACAAGACAGACACAGCGCCCGCCCGTCAATGGGGCATTGTCCCCTGCAGCCTGGCCCCGCCAGCCCCCGAGGGCCGTGAGAGGAGCCACTGTCCCGTACACGGGACACGTGTCCAGCGGGAGACACAGATGCGAACACGCTTTACAGGAGGGGCGCCACACGCCAACTGTTCCGTGGCTGACATGGACCGGGATCAGGATTCCTGCCAAGAAGGAGCTACCTTTCCAGTTAAAAAAACTACTTTTACATTAAAAGAGAGAAAAAAGAGAAAAGAGGGAGAGCTACAGAAGGGAGGCGGCCATCTTCCTTGGGGGCGGAGGAAGGGACGAGGAGGCAGGGCAGGGGCACCGAGGTGGGCGATGTGAACCGTGAACCTGAGAGGGAATGACAACCACAGGGGTCCCCGCGTGGAGGGGCCTCCAGGAGAGTCCGTGTGTGCGTGTGCATTACCCACGTGCTTGTGTGTGTGTGTTCGTGCGTGTGTGAGCGCGAAGCGGGGGGGCCCAAGGGGGAGGGGAGGGGAGGGGCTCACCCGGCGGACCCAGTTGATGAGGTCATCCAGCTTGGTCACCACGTACTCGCCCCGGCTGCTGGGAAGGGCGGTGGGCTTGGGGACCACGGCTCTGGCCTGGGACATGGCGGGCTGGGTGCTGCGCACGGGACACACGACATGGGGAGACGTTAGCCCGGCAAGCGCCCCCTCGAGGCAGGCGCCAACCACCACCACAGCCCCCACCCCGGGGCCCGGCCCAGAGCAGCGTCTCGGAAGGCAGGACAAAGCCATGGTCATGGCCCGGTCCCAGGGCAGCACTGGGAGAAGCCATGGGGCCAGGGTTGGCCCCGGGGGGCCTGCGGCGTCCCGGCACCCAGATCTGGGGCAGGACATGCCTGCACAACAAAGCAATGACAGACAGCGTGGAGGGCCTCGGCCTGCCTTGCTGCGGCCCCAGCAGGCCCCTGTCCTCTCAGGGACTCGGTCTTCCCATCTGGAAAACGGGCTCGGCTGACACACTTTTTAGCGAGGGCCGTTCTGGTTTGGGGAAGCGCAGCCAGGGGCCTGGATGCCCAGGAGGGGGCTGGGTAGGGCTCCAAGGGCAGAGACCTGGCCACATCGCCCCCAGGGGTGGGAGGGCCCCGGTGACCACCAGCTGCTCCTGTGCCGAGGGGGTGCTGCGGGGCGCTCGGGCTCTGGGGAAGGCTGGCCTCACCTGCTCGGGCCCTCAGTGGCCACGCTGGGATGGACATCTCGCACCTGCACAGCGGCGCCCACGCCGGAGCTGCGGGGAGACAGGGGACACGTGAAGAGGCACCCGGGGCGCCCCGAGGTGCTGTGACAGGGGCTTCCCTGGACCAGGGATGGGGAAACTGAGGCCAGGGGCCAAATCCAGCCCACCGCCTGTTTCCATAAATAGAAGTTTCACTGGCACGCAGGCGTGCCCACCCCTTTCCACGCTGTCTGTGGCTGTTTTCACACTGGCGGAGCCGAGTAATTGCTGCTCTGTGACCCTCTGGCCCTTTATGAAAGAAGTCTGTCAACCCCTAGTCTAGAGGATGTCTGGTTTTCATTTTATGTGTCTTTCATTTTTCCCATTCCCCCCCTTGTTTTACAGAAAACATGTATTTTATTCTTAGGAAAAAAGCCCTATCAGAGTCAGCCCTCATTGAAGCCCCCCCAACTCCCCTCCACTAGGCAGGCCCTGACTCAGATCTGCCACTCACTGGCCCCACAGTGCTGGGGGTTTGATTTCTGGGCTCTGCTCACACACAGGGCCCGGCGGCCACCTGCTTTCCCGACCCGGAGCAAATGCACTACATGCTTTTCCACGACAGCTACCAAGTGAGTTCAGAGGGTGCCAGGGCAGGCAGACGTGGGTCTGAATCCAGGCTCTGCCCCGACACAGACTGTGCCCCGAGGGCCTGAACACCAGCTGCTGGAGAGTACACTGCCGGCCCCAGAGCTGCCCGTGACTCGCCGTGTGACCTTCAGCGGGCAGGCCCCTGTCTGATGCTGCTCAAGAACCCCCCCAGCCCTGAGGCACTGTGAGACCCCTGCCTGACCCTCCCTGCCAGGGCCTCTGGACGGGTGGTCCGGGTCCCAGACGCAGGCACTCACCGCAGAGCAAGGATGGGGCGGAGCAGGCCGGGAGCTGCAGAGAGAACCATAGGGCGGGGGCAGTGAGCGGTGGGCAGCACCACAGGCCACAAACCCAGGTGCCGGGATCTGCCCGCAGGGTCCAGCCTCCGGGTGTCTGCCCATCAGGCCCCCGCCTGGGACACCCTCCCTCCTACCCTCGGTCTGTCTGAACTCCACTTAACAAACGTTTTGTGCAGAGGGCTCTTGCAGAATATGCACCCCACGGTGTCAGTGCCCTGCTTAAAACCCCGCACCTCTAGAGGGACACTATTAACACGGGGCCACTGGTGAGACCCGTGACCTTGCGCGGAAAGAAAAACACCCTCTCTGCTGTCCCCAACGCCTTACTGCAAACTGTCCTTCCTTCAGTTCCGAGAGTGGCCGACAGGCCACAGCCCTATCAGCGGGACCCCACGCAAACCACGACGAGTCCCAGACCCGATCCAGGGGCTACGGACACGTCCCCGCGGAGTGACGCGTCCTGTCCTCGCCCCACCACCCCAGCGGGACCGGACCTGCCGCCGGACCGGCGCTCGGGCGTCCAGGACGGAGCCCACACACCACCCCCCGGTGTGGACACGATCCCTGGATGGTCTCTCGGTGTGACCGCCCCCTTCGCGACCCCACGGTGTCACTCCACGCGTCCCATCACGATCCGAGGAGGACAGGTCCCTGTCACTTCCGGGGGCGGGGGGCAGGCACCCCGGGGCCCGTCCCCGCCCGGCCCTCCCTGGGCCTCAGTTTCCCCGCCCGTCGGGCCGCGACCCCCGCCGCCTCCCGCGGGAGGTCCAGAGCAGCTTCCCCGGCCGAGCTCTGGGCCCTCCGGCCCCGCCCCGGCCACCCTCTGAGGGTGGGCCTCGGCTTCCCCGAGCGGCCCCTAACCCCGCCGTCCGTGACCCGCTCACCCGCCAGCGCCGCCATCTTGGCCTCGGCCTTCAGACAACCTCTGCGGTCCGTCCGCTCCAGCGCTCCGGGTCCCCGGGGCCGTCGCCCAAAGCGGCTCGGCTCGTGCGCGGAAACCGGAACGAGGGCCTGGGACGTTCCGCCTGCGTGGACGCCGCGCACCCCTGGACGCCCCACGCGGGAGAGAAGGACGTGGGGGTGCGTGGGGAGAACCAGGCAAAAGCACGTGCGCCGTCCACTCCCTCCTTACCCCGGGAGGCAAAAACGACGGCGCGTCCCTGGGTGGGCTCGAACCACCAACCTTTCGGTTAACAGCCGAACGCGCTAACCGATTGCGCCACAGAGACGGCGCTGCCGCCCGACCCCCCGCGCGACCCTACGAGGCATGCGCGGCCCGCACGCTCAGAGCGAGCTGCGCCTGCGCGCGGGTAGTGAGGCGCGGGGCGGAGTTGAGGCGAGCGCGACCCCTGCAGCGCGGCCGAAATAGCTCAGTTGGGAGAGCGTTAGACTGAAGATCTAAAGGTCCCTGGTTCGATCCCGGGTTTCGGCAGGCATTTTGGCGCCCCTGGCGAGCATCGTTATCCTTTGCTCCGGGCTTGTTTAGCTGCTCCCAGCTCTCCCTTCCCCAGAACGTGTCCTTTTTCACATTTCTTCCCCAGAATGTGATTCCATTCTGCAGACGAGGAGCTGGGCTGCTGGCTCATGCCAACCTGGGAGGGCTCAGACAGAACAAGCCGTCAACCCCAGTCCCCACTGCTAGACTATGATGCCAGCCCAAACATCCCCCTCTGCCCACCCCGATTTCCAGTATGTTTTAAGTGGTAGGATTAGAACCAGTGCTAACTGTAAAAATGAACTCTACTGAACACCAAAACTGGCAAAATAGAGTTTGCAGAAAACACTTTCCGCTTCTATGCCATTTGATTTTGACAATCCTGCTGGGCATCTGTTCTGCCTATTTTACATACGTGGAAACTGAGGATCAAATAGGCAAACACGGGCGAATGACAGGGCTGGCCTCCTAGTGAGGACCACTCCAGGTATTTACCGAATTCCTGCTCTGTGCTGGGGACTCAGTGCTGAGCAGGGCCGGGCCCCTGTTCTTAGGGAGCTCAGGCCCCTTGGGAACGAGAGGCGAGGGGCGCCGGGAGGGCACCGGATGTGTCACCTAGGCCGAGCATGGCCGCTGAAGGGCGATGCACAGGAGAAAAGAGCAGAGGAAAGGCCGGGCGCATCTGATGGGAATCTGAAACTCCGGTGGATGCGCAAACCCTCCTTCCCCTTTAGTTCCCACAGCTGGCTGTCCTGTGGAGCTGAGTTTTTTTATTAATTTAAGTAAACTTTGTATTTTAGAACAGTTTGATTCATGGAGAAGTTGCAGAGAATTTCCCTGTGCCCAGCACCCAGTCTTCCCTACTGTTAACATTTTATGCTAGTGCGGTACCTTCATCACCATTCAGGACCTGGTGTGGATACATTATCAGGTTTCCTGTTTTCCCCTACCGTCCTTGCCCCAGTCCCAGCCGAGCCTTCAGATGATGCAGCCCGGCTGACATCCGACTGTGGCTTCCTGAGACCCCAGAGCCGCCCAGCCAAGCCGCTCTTGGATTCCCGATCCATAGAACCATGAGAATGTTGTTTCCAACCGCCAGTACTGGGGTCGTTTGTTATGCAGCAATAAGCAACTAACGTGGGAGGGGCAATCAGCATGTCAGGCTGAGTGGCTGGATGGGGGACAGGTGGGAGGTGACGGCCTGGCTCAGGAACCCGGGGCCTGGTGAATCGGGTGAGCAGAGGGCTCACCATGACTCCAGGGCCAGTAAGGGCCAGTGAGAGAGACGGGTGGATGGAGGGGGAGGGGAGGAGGGAGAGGAGGAGGGGGAGGGGAGGAGGAGGGGGAGGGGGACGGAGAGGAGAGAGGAGGGCACGGGGAACCTCAGGCAGGGGAGGCTGCAAATCAGGGGCAGGAGGGGGCTCAACCGTTCCTTGGGCAGAGGTGCTTCTCTGTGGTTTGAGATTCTCGTCCTGGGCATTTTTTTTTTATCTCTTTTTTCTTTTTGTGAGGAAGATCAGCCCTGAGTTAACATCTATTGCCAATCCTCTTCCTTTCCCCCCCACCCCCAAAGCCCCAGTAGATAGTTCTATGTCATAGCTGCACATCCTTCCAGTTGCTGTATGTGGGACGCAGCCTCAGCATGGCCGGAGAAGCGGTGCGTCGGTGCGCGCCCGGGATCCGGACCGGGCCGCCAGTAGCGGAGCGCGCACACTTAACCGCTAAGCCACGGGGCCGGCCCTCGCCCTGTGCATTTTTTACAATCAATTTTTTAGATAAACGATAGACTTGAGGAGGTGCCAACGTGCACGCGATGACAATCCCCATTCCGGGAAGCGGTTATGTTGGAGCGTGCTGTTCTTTCAGTTGGGGGGGATTTGACTGCGCCTCTGCGCTGTGGGGGCTGGGGCGGGAGAGGAACCTGACTGTAGGAGAAGCCTCCGCAGGGCTGGGGGTCTGCACGGGCAGAGGCTCAGCTGAGGGCTGGGCTGGAGAGCTGCGGGAGGTGAGGAAGACCAGGGTAGAGGAAAGAGCCCCAGGGAGGCCCTGGGAAGGGGAGAGGGACAAGGAGCAGCAGGGAGGCTGCACAAAGGTGTGGGCGGCTTTGAGACACCAGCTGGGGGCAGCCCAGAGGGAAGGGGCAGAGGCGGCAGGCAGGAGTCACCGACAGGGGAAGGCGGCAAGACACCATCAGTTTGTAGACTGGGGGCGCTCCTGGCATCGAGTGGGTGGGGCCAGGGATGCTGCCCAACCCCCCACAGAGCCCGGGACGGCCCCCCAGAGAATGACCCGGCCAGTGCCAAGGGGCAGACCTGGAGCAGGGGACACAGGCTCGGCTCCTGGGAGTGAGGGGTGGGTGGAGAGAAGCCGTCGCTATGGAGAATGGGGGTGCAGGAGGGCTCGGGCGGCTGAGGTGCCCTGCTTGCACCATGTTGTGCTGGGTGAAGTCTGTCTTCTTGAAGCTTCAGAAGCAGCCGAGCTGTGCTGGCTTCCCCAGGGGGTCCTTGGTCACCTCTCAGGCCCTTCTAGAACATTCCTCATCTGGCATGCTAGTCAGGTCAGCTGGCTCTGACTTCCTCATCTACTGCCCAGCCATCAATTTGGAGCGTCAACAGACCCCCACCCACCCCACCACCGTCTGCCCCAGTGGCCTTAGGAGAAAATTTTAAGACAGTCACCCTCCGAGTCCACAAGAACAGTACCACAGCGAGAGCTGAGAACACCTGCTGGGGCGCAGGACCGGGATGTGGCGTGGGGTGCACATCAGAAGCCTGGAGCACAGCTGATCAGCGCAGCGTGTGTCTGACAGACATCTGCTCTGTTCAGGCTGATGTGGGAATGGGGCTGGGGGGAAGACCCCCACAAGCACCCGGGGACGGATCCTTCCGGAAAGTTACACACCGGGACGGTGCAGCCGGCCCAAGGTAGACCACGTGTGGGGTTCAGAAAAGAAAAGCCAGGGCTCCAAAACGACATTTAATTCCAGCCTGAATAGTTCAATTCCACAATCAAAGCTTAGGAACACGGCAAAGATTAGCAAAGAAACAGATATAAAAATACTTCACGACAATGGAATATTCCCACACGAGCCACTAGGTTTCCACAAAACCTCATGGATGTTTCTAACCCACGACCCACGAGAACATCCCTCATGTTTGTAAGGCGGACGTTGCTCGCGCTACCGACCACTTTCAATGAGGGTTGCTGTTGGTGGACAGTGTAGTCGGACTTTTCTGGAAGGAGGCAAGGCCCATTTTGGCGACGCCAATAGGGCCATCCTCCTTGGGGATGGGGCCCTCTCTCTGTGTCCCAGGAAGAGTGACCAGAGCAGGGCCAGGTGCCAACCAGACTGGCGCGTTGAGGCTTCGGGCTACGCGGCATCAGGGGCCTTTCCGTCAGATGAGGAACCATCGTCCCTCTGTGGTTTCAGCTCTGCACATGGCCAGCCATGGGGAGCGGCCTCCACCGCAGCGCCTCCAGCCCCTCCCTCCCGAGCCTGGGCCCCAGATGGGACACCCTGAGGGCCAAGCCGGGAGGGTCGGAGGCAGAACCGCCAGGGCCGGGCGTGCCTGGATGCTCTGCTCTTCGATTTGAGCAAAATCAACTAGGACGAAGATGGCCTGCGGGGTTCTGGGCAACGAGGTCAGCACGCCGTCTCTGGAACATCTCAGTCTCGAACCGACCGGAGATGTCTCTGCGGTGTCTTCCTGTTCAGACACCAGCCTCTTGGGGCTCACGTGCCCCCACCACGTCCCATGAGAATCTCACTCCAACTTTCCTCTGTGGTGCCGGCTGTCAGGTGAGGGGACCCCGTCCCTCCTCACACGCAGCTGCCAGTCATTACAGTGGGGCCACCACCCCTGCCAGGCGTGACAACGCAGCCAGGGTGGAGAAGACGGGACAGGCTCTCAAAATGAACCTCTCCAATGTTTACTTCCACATACAGTCTCGCATCAGCTTAGAATAATTCAGTGGCGTGTGGCTCTGACTTAGACTTTCTATGACCGTGTTTGAGGACTGGCTGAGGAAAACTGAGTCACGGGCCTCCACATGGCTGACTCCAAGGGCCAGGAGCCCAAGCTGGGGACCCTCGGGCGTCGGGCGACTCACCGGCGGAGACCTGCCTTCTGTGCCCTGGGCGGGAACTCGAGCCTGCCTTCCAGAAAATGGCCTCGTTTCTGCAGACGCCAGGCCCAGGCGATGAGCTCGTGTCCCCTACGCTGCGACTCCACGGCCACACAGTGATGTCGGCTGCCCCCGGTGGCAGCGGCGGGCACGCGGGATCGTCACAGCTATCCGGGCAGATGACCAAGACTGCAGGGGCTGGCTGGGTGGTGACAACGCTGGCGCCAGGAGAGACGCGGCTGTGCACGGAAACCTAGGCGGGACGGGGCGTCTGCGGGGTCCCCACACAGGACGGAGCGGAGAAAGGCCACTGGAGCCACTGACGTCCATGTCCTCCTGCACAAGCAATCATAGCAAACGCTAAAACCTGAGGGCAGCTTGTCTTCTGTTCTGTCTCCTACAAACACCGGTTTTCTTCACAAACGTTAAGACGGGCAGCGCAAATTTAGGAACCATCGAGAGGAAACCACGAAAAATACACTGACGCTCCTGGAGCTGTCACTCACGTCAGACTCCTCTCTCAAACGCCTGTTTACTATCAGATACGCTGCTTTTTAACACAAAATAACACGTGTACCTTATATTAAACTATATAATACAGCCACAAGTAATGACCTAAACCAAAATAAAATGCACGTTTGTCCTTTGAAAAACCTTCGGGTTTTTTGGGAACTGTACTTTCCCAAAAGAGCCGGGAAAAGAGAACCGGGTCTCGGCGTGTTCACGAAATCGACTTCTCAGAGCCGTGGAAACACACCCCCAGTCCCCAACTTCCAGAAGGTGCTCTTGGCCGGAGACCGGGGCACCGGCAGCGCTTACTACCGGCAGACGGCGTGTTCACGCGGGCGCAGCCTCCTCCGGTGTCAGCATCGCCGATTCCTTTCCTCTAGGAGCTGGTTATCAAATATTTCTTTTTCCCTTCAGGAAACAAAAGGGGATAACTTCATTTTAGTAATTAATCCAGTTTTAAAGGGCATGAAACAGGGGAGTTAGTGTTTCATGGGGACAGAGTTTCAGTTCGGGAGGAAGGAAAGTTCTAGAGATGATGGTGGGGATGGCTGCACAACAATGTGAATGTGCTTAAGGCCTCTGAGCTGTGCACTTAATGGTGAGGACGGTCAATTTTACGTTGTTGCTATTTTATTACAATTAAAGAAAAAACAATTTTTTAAATAAAAGAGTGTGAAATATCAACTTGTTCTTAGGCAATTTCCCTGTCAAAAAAAAAATTATATTAACAATTACTTGGCTAGCCACCCCTCCCAGGATAGAAAGAGACAAGCAGGGAACACCTATTCTGAAAGTGACCTGGAGAAACACCAGACGGTGGGCGAGATACTGGCGAGTGTGCCCTCGCAGGAGAAGAGATACAAGGTCACCTTAGGAATGACCACAATGGAAACAGCGCCAAGACTGCTTACGGTACAACCATACAGCGTGGACTTAAATAAAGCCAGGTTTGTACACGACTACAACAGGGACAAGGGGGATGTGAACGAATGGCTCCTGACGTCGGGGCGAACGGATCCCATGACGAGAGACTGCGCCCCTGGAAACAGGGGCCGAGGGGAGAGACAGCCGCCGCTCACTCATCACGCCACTCAGCCCACGTCCCCCGGGTAACCAAACGGTGGCCTGCGTGTTCAATCTAATCCCCTTCTCTGAGAGCGCGCTGAACGTCCTGTCTACGGTGCATTTGAGACGTTCACAGCGGGGCGAGGCTGCGAAGGACTCGTAACGCTTTGTGACACGGGGAACCTGGAACACGGCTCCTTGCGAAAAGAAAACCTCGCAGATGGAGAGGCGCCATCACCGGAGCAGAATGGTCAGCTTCCGGGACGTGAGGGAGGGAGAAGAAGAGGCTGGCCGGAGCTGAGACGGCCAGCTCCGACCTCACCCTGCCAGGATCACCGTTCGCTATTCGTCTATCAGGGTGCCAGGCCAGACTCGAGTTCTAGGAACAGACGTGCCAAGTCTCTGTTTCCAAAGGCCCTTCTCGTCCGGTCAGTTCAGCTGGATCAAAGCTCCTGCACACAGAGCCAAATGTACTCGTCTGTGGACAGTCAAGCAGGCTTTCCCATCCACTGCAGCCCAGTCGGCGGCCTCCTACCAGCCCTGGCACACACCTGGGCCCACCCGGGAAGGACTCAGGCCTCCTGGGAACCATGAGTCTTTACCGTCAAGCGTCCCGGGATGGTGTGCACACTCAGCCCTGGACGGAGACCCTGGCCTGTGACTCTAGTTGAGTCTTCAGCCTGTCAGTGCCACGCGGGCCGCGCCTGTTCCCAGCCAGGCCTGGCAGCACGCCCAGAGACGGATTAGGGGCTCTGGGGGCCAAAAATCCAACGGTGGCTAAACACTCGATGTGAGGGAAACATCTTGATCACAGCATTCTTCTGACCAGCTAGGAACCGGCCAGGGTGACTGCGGCTGCTAATCTTGCTGCATTTTCTCAAATAGCCACGGCGTTGGAGCAAGAGGGGGAGAAAGTGCGAAACGCAAACGTGAGCGCCTGCAGAAGGGATCAGGCACAGCAGGCCCGAGCACGTGTCCGGCGGTCAGCCCCGGGCGCTCCTGCAGGCCGGCGACGCGGGGCCTGGGCTTGCATCCAGCTCTGCCCGCTGCGACCAGCTTGGAGGCCCTGGGCCCACTGCCCACGCTGGCCGGAGGAAAGAACGTTCACGTCGGGCGATTCCTTGGCCAAGTGCTAACATGAAACATTTTCAAGTTCACGTGGTTCATTTACCAACCAGGCATCTGGACCAGCGTGTCAGGAAGGGGGTCACGACACCAGTGAGTGTGGAAATACAAGCCTGTGAAAACAAACTGCAAACAGTTTGGGAACAGTGCTCTGAGCGGCCTACCGGTAGCTGAGTGAAGGTCCTTTTATGTACTTCTCCTCGGCCGTCTTGTAATCCACCTCGTCGACTGCAGAAATTGCACAGATGATGGCCTGTAAGAGGGCAGAGCGAGTCAACCGTGGGCAGGGCCTGGCACGGCACGTTCCGAGGAATCTGCAGGGGGCCCATTTCAACCACAGATCAGCCTCCGGACACTTCCCGGTTTATGGCTCAAAACACACGTACGGAATCCGTGAAATCTCTGCTTACAGCGAAGTTTCTGAATTACATCAATAACATTATCCGTGGACTAGAGACAAGAGTCCACGTCACTAAAAGCAGAGATTGAAAGGCAGGACCCCAACCAACAAGTGCGGTTTTGAAAATTGTTTACTGTAAAAAAACGAATGAGGGGCCGGCCTGGTGGGGCAAGCAGTTAAGTGCTCGTGCTCCGCTGTGGCGGCCCAGGGTTCGCAGGTTCGGGTCCCGGGCGCGCACCGACGCACCACTTGTCAGGCCATGCTGTGGCAGCGTCCCATATAAAGTGGAGGAAGATGGACACGGATGTTAGCTCAGGGCCAATCTTCCTCACACACAAAATAAAAATAAACAAATAAATAAAAAAACGAATGAAAGTACACAATCATCATGATTTAAATACACAACAGACATATAATATCAAGAAATCATTATTAATTTTTTTAGATGAGACAATAGTATTGTGGTTATGTCAAAAAGTATTTTTAGAGTCCTTATAGTTTAGAGCAGGGTCTCGCCCTTGGCACTGCGGACACTGGGGCCGGGTCATTCTCTGGGGGGCTGTCCTGGGCACTGTGGGGGGTTGAGCAGCATCCCTGGCCCCACCACTTGATGCCAAGAGCACTTCCCAAGTCGTGAGGACCACAGATGTCCCCAGACATCGCCCAGTGTCTCCTGGGGCAGGATTGCCTGTTTTAGAAATACACACTTAAGTATTTATGGATAAAAAATACTTGAGTCCCTTCCCACCCCAGAATAATCCAGGGGAGTGGACTGGGGGTACAGATGGAGTAAGGTCACTACTCCAGCCAAGTAACGGGCACATAACGGCTCATGAGGTCATTTTATTTCTGTATGTATTTGAAACGTACCACAACAATACAGTTCACAAATTTTGAGTTTTATAACGCTTTTCTAACGCGCATAGATGCCCAGCAGTGCCCATCTAACCTCCAAGAGAATCGGAGGGGTGGCATTGACTCCTCACCCAGCCCGAGCCCCACCTGAAGTGCACTGAGCAGTGAAAACCCCCTTTGCCCGAGCACCCTGTATTCCAGAACGGTTCCCACAGGCAAACGCTGTGGGAACACCCCCCACCCCCCAACGCTGGTGGTGAGATTCAAACCCCACGGGGGGCCGGGCTACACACTGAGTGTCTCAGCACCAAACCGCCCGGTCCCCGTGGCCGCTGCAGCCCCCCTGCCAAGGCAAAGCTGGGCCCTCACCGCAGACCCCCACCCTCCACGTGCAGAGCCACCCCCGCCGGCCACTCACCTCGGGCAGAAGGACATCCAGGATGAAGCGGATCCTATCGCCGCTGATCCGTGTCAGCATCCTGCTGCCCGCCTCCTGGAAGACTCCTTGTAAGTACTTCACCACCAGGTCCAGCTGTTCCTCGTCCTCCAGGTACGTCTCCACGCAGGTCACGTACTGACTGGAGTTCAGAAACGTCTTCAGCCACCTGGACGGCTTCCTGTTCTTCAGGATGGCCCGCAGGTGGCTCTCGGTGCCCCTCGCCTTCACGATGTACTCCACCAGCTTCTGGTTGGCCCGGTCCCGGGCGGCCCGCGACCGGTCAGGGAGGACCTTCCTGCACGGCTGCCTCCGGCCCTGGGGGCTCCCCGCCTCAGGCTCCCTCGGGTCCCCTTTGCTCAGCTGAGGGAACGTGGTCCCCAACACATCCTGCTGGATGGACTTGCGGACGGGATAGCCTGCAGAGGAAGCGCACGTCCGTGGGACTGCCAGCCTGGCCTCGGGTCCCTGCAGCCTCCCCTCGCTCACTGTGAGGCCCTCAGCAATCACGCGGAGCCTGGGGGTGACGGAGAGGCCCATGGGGCCTCGACGTCTGCGATAAGCCCCTTGCGCAGAACTGCCCCAGTCCTACAGGGCCGTTCCTCTGACGGGATCCCGCACCTCTGTCCCCAGCTCTGCCCCACAGCCAAGTGTGACCCGAAAGAGCAGAGCCCAGCCCCCACCTGCCCCAGCCCCGCCGAAGCAGCATCACGTCCTCTGTGTCCACTCTGTAACGACCAGAGGAACGGGGTACCGAGTGGCTGTCAGCTAACTGAAAATGCCAAGCCACAGGGAAGGCAGACGGAGAGCACCGCCATTCAGACGTCTCAGCATCCAGGCGACAGTCTTAAAATCCTCGGCGTGTCACCACTAGCACTGACGGGGGGCAGTGTCGACACTGAGGACACGGAACCGCCGTCCCGGCCCCCACGGCAGGGAGACGAGACTGTGGGTGCCCGGCGGACACTGCGGCGGGTTGCACAGCCTGGGTCTGCGATCCAGGAACAGGCTGGGGACGCGACATCACCTCTGCCTGACACATCTCCTCCAGAGCCTGGGACATAGAAGACCATTGCTTCCTTTTTTTTTTTTTTTTGGTGAGGAAGATCAGCCCTGAGCGAACATCCAAGCCAATCTTCCTCCACTTTATGTTGGACACCGCCACAGCGTGGCCTGACAAGCGGTGCGTCGGTGCGCACCCGGGATCCGAACCCGGGCTGCCAGCAGCGGAGTGCACACACTTAACCGCTACGCCACGGGGCTGGCCCCTGGAAGACCGTTGCTTCTGAAGGACTAAAAGCCGGTTATGCTTTTAAAGAGGTGCTGGTGGACTTACTTATATCGGCCGCATAATATTCCAGGAAAGAGCCGGCAAAAGAACCACAGCCTGCAGAGGAGGCAGGAGGGGAGAGAGCCTTGTTTACATGCAGGAGGAGAGACCCGGGAAATACCTGCAGGGTCGAGTCCAAGCCCCGAGCAGACCCTTTCCCAGGGGAGAGCAAGTGGGACACAGAACTGCTGTCAAAGCAGCCGCGAGGTCCCCAGAGGCACCGAGAAAGGCCAGGACGTTTTTACTGACACCGCCACGGTTTACAGACTCCCGGCAGCCAGGCTCGGGGTGGACGGAAACCACCTCTGACTCACAGGAAACCCCGTCTTCTGCTTCTCCCCAGCATCTCGGCCTCTGCCCGGGCGCCTACCCACCTGCCTTTCTTAGGGAGGAGGCTGTCATGGGCCGGGCCAGACGGCTACCGGGAACGTGCCTCATTCTGCCCTCACGCTCGGGGGTCCTCAGAGGAGGACCCCACCTGATCCCTGCCTGATCCCTTTGTCCGAGGGCGCGCAGGCCCCACGTACCGAGCCGGACCCTGTAGTCAGTGATCAGGGAGACACACCAGCCGATGGCCTGGTCGAAGTCCTCCTTGGCTTCGTTCTGTAACAAGACCCAGACAGCAAGTGTGAACAGGAAGCTGCAGGGAGCACTGCCCACATTCCCTCTGCATCCTCAGTTCCCTCACCCACAAAGGGGACCCGGCAGATGCCCCCGTTCAGGGCTCCTAAGTCCAGACCGGGAAATGCGTGTCCAGGCCTATGTATGTGGCTGGGCTGCTCAGAATACGGTCACTTGTGAGCCGATCGCTCTGGGCTGAGAGAGTGAACCGTAGACTCTAAGTACAGGAAAGCAAAAAACACCCCAAAAGGCAGCCTACGTGGCAACCACACAAAGACTTTAACAGTTGTGTGAAATGAATCCTTCTACGAGACATTCTCATGCCCATCACTTAGAACAAGGCAGGGTCAGCCAGGAGGGAGGGACACTCAGCCACCCGCAGCGGGACCCTCCGGCCTCCTGGTGCTCACCAGCAAACCAAGGACAATACCCTGGTGAGAAGCCCCAGTGAGGATCCCTGAGCTGGGACCACGAGCTCCTAGGAACCACAGGCCTGAGGCTAAGCTGAGACCCACTTCCTGCGTACCGCCACCTCAGCCCAGCCTTCCTCCCGCAGTCGCCGCAGGTGTGGGATGGCAGCAGAGCGGGCAGCTCTGAGAGGGGCTCAGGGCCTCAGCCAGGCTTGCTGACCGGCACCTAGGACAGCGCCCTGTGGGGCTCCTCAGGGAAGGAGACACACGGGGCCCTACAGACATCACCAAGCTGTGATGGTCACACAAGGGCCCACAGAGGACGCAAGAGCCGATCCATCAACACCCCCAGCGCAGGCGGAACAGCCCCTCCTGGGAGGCAACGCTCTTGCCACTCAAGTAGACCAGCCCCTCGGTCTCCCCTCCGCACCCCACCTCACGAGTGGACCTGAACTAACATTTCTCAGAGGACAGGAAGGTGGCCGGCAGACACCCTCCAGCATCTGCATCACGAGAGGGAGGCCCGTGCACCATCTTCTCGTAACCCAGGCTGCTTTGTGACAAAACATGTTCTGTATGTGTCTAAGGCACACAGGCCTCAAGGCACGAGTCCTGCTCTGCTTCTCGCCCACCCCTCCCTTCTGGGGTGGCTACCCGGACCCCCCAGAGAGCAAAGGGGCTGAGAGGAGTCAGGGCAATGTCCCCGGCCCCGGAAAGTTGGGCTGTCGGCTCCGCGTGCTCATGGATTTGCACCTCGGGGAGCGTGGCAGCTTGTCCCAACCGCCACCAGCCCTCTTCCAGAACCAGACCCGCTGACCGGCATTCTGGTGGGGACTGGGCGCCCAGCGCTGGTGGCGGCTTAGAAGTTGCAGTGAACAAACTCAAGCAGACGAGACAGACAGGGAGCAAGGCTCACGTCGTGGAGACGCGCACGTTGCTGAAGGCTGGGGTCCCGTCTGCGTGCCAGCCCTCCCAACACCAGCCCACCCCCGAAGCCCGTGGCCTGCTGCCCTTGGAGCAACAGCACAGCCGGTCGGCAGGAGGCTCCCTAGACGGCCCCCAGCCCCACGATCCCACTCACAGCGTAAGGGAACAGCTTCCCCGACAGGAAGGCGGCACCATGACATGAGCCCGGAGCCCCACTGACCAGCCGTGGAAACACCCACACTGTGCGGAGGCTGACAGACCCTCCCCACCTGGCCAGTTCGGTCTGCGTTGAAAGCTGGCATTTCAGAGCTGAAGAGACATCGTTTCTGAACGGACCAGCTCCCTGTGGCTCGTGCACTCAGTGTACGACAGGAAGCCGATTACAGAACCGAGGGGGCGGCAGCCACTGAAGAGCACAGAGAGCTCTTGGTAGGGCGCCGTCGCTACCCACACAGACAGGTGCTCAGGTTCCCTCCGCACACCTGCGGGCCCATGGTGCTCGCAGCACTGGGCTGGGGTGGGGTCCCCCACTCCAAGGAGCCGGGGTCTACCACACCCCAACCTGCGGGGCGGCCACAGAACAATCGCCCGTGCAAGGAGCCAGAAGGAGTGGGCCTCGCGCCTGGGCTCTCCGCCACCTCACCCCACGGCCCTGGGCAAACTGTGCTCCGCACCGGCAGCCCCCAGAGCGGTGGTGAGACCCCAGTGCCGTGATCCCCCAGAATAACGGCCAGACCAGCCCGGCAGATGCTCTGCCCTGACTCCCACGACCTTCACATGCACACACCAGCCGTGGTTTCACAGGCGACGCAGAGGACCCCGTTATCAGTCACCGAATCAGCCACTCAGAGAGGCACAAATAAGGGTCCACCTACCAGCAGAGCGTGCTTCTCTTTACAGTCGAAGTGCTTCAGTCTTTTAAGACACACGGTGATACTGGATGGACAGAGAGAGGCAAAGGTTCACGTGAATGAACTCCTTCTCGGGACCTAAAAAAGGTCCCCTTCCTCTGATAAAACAAGTGGGGGCCCCTGGCGCCTCTGCCGGCATCCGTTTATTTATCGAACGCGACTGTGGTCCCCAGCGGCCCGAGGAAGCCCCCCTGGAGCCAGGCCCCAGAAGCGACAGGGACGCCCTGAGTGGGTCCCTAGGGGGATGTGGCTGGGCCACCGTTCAGGACAGGCAGACCCCGGGCCTGGTCCTCGCTCCATCCCCCCGGCCACTGGTAGGAGGCGGAGGCAACACCAAAGTGCCAGAGGGTCAGAGCAGACCGACCCTGCACATTCCCTCTGAAACTCGCGGGGCAGTTTTTAAAAAAGCCGCTCTGAGCAGGCAGATACATCTGAGTGCATTTTCATCCCATGATTAAGGATTAGGAGAGAATGACCGGGCAACCAGCCAAACGGCAGAACTCAGGCAGAGGCAGGTCACTGCTCACGGCCCCTGCGGTGACCACATTTTGCTAGTTTGCAGAAACTGAGGGCGATCCAATGAGTGCCAGGCTGGATTGCCTTTCAAAGCTGGCAAATAAAATTTGGAAAACTGGGGCCAGCCCAGGTGGCCTAGTGGTTAAGTTCAGCAGGCTCCACTTTGGCGGCCCAGGTTTGGTTCCCAGGTGTGGACCTACACAGCTCTGTTAGCGGCCATGGTGTGATGGCGGCCCACATACAAAATAAAGGGAGATTGGCACGGACACTAGCTCAGAGCAAATCGTCCTCAGCAAAAAAAATAATAAAATGAAATTTGGAAAACTGGACTGTTTGACCAGTTCCTTTAAACACTGCTTGTGTTTGGAGTCCTCTTCCTGGGGGCGGCTCACAGGGGGCACGTGGACCCTGCGGGGCTCCGGAGTCCTGCACCCCGCTCCCCGGGCCAGCACCCCCGCATCAGGCCTGCACCTGGGAGCCATCCTCAGAGAGCAGAGACCAACATGGGCTTACCCTTTCCCTTTTGGGTTCATGTTCCCTTCAATAAAAAGCACGCTTGCTTTCTTCTCTCTTCGCCGGACGCTCTTGACCTGTCAGCAAATCCAAGAAAACAAAGTGTCGAGAACCCAGGAGGAGGCCGTGGGTTTTTAAAACACTCTTCTGACACCATCTTCTTGGGTGTTCTGGTGAACGACTGACATGTGTGACCCGGAACGCTGGCGGCTCGGGGGTGACCGAGGCCGTTAACACCCTCGGACGCTCAGAAACCGCCCGAGCTGTGCCCCACGCCTCACTCGAGCTGGATTCACAACTGAGCAGAACCAGACAGGGGCTGGTGTGGTTTGTTTTTAAAGAAAGGGAACTGCATACTGCTGCCCATCGCCCCTTTACCAAATTGTCCGGCTGATTTTCCCAGCCGGCTCCGCAGGGCAGGCCCATTCTCATGTGTGGGATGAGCAAGGCGAGCTCAGGAAGGTCAGGATGAGCAAGGGCACCCAGAGGCGGCAGCACCCCACTCCAACAGCCCCTTTCCTCGCTCGGCCCCCCCGCGGCCTCAGGCGGCCCCCCTTTCTGCAGCGCCTCACGTGGCCAACGTGGCCGCAGACTCTCTCGCCCCAGGAATCTGTCACGTTGGTGACCAGTGCACCAGCAGGGCCCCCGGGGAAGTGGTGAGAACAAGGAGAGGGCTGGAAGGTCCGGGAAATGGGGGGACACGGGCGCCTCCTGGGAAGCGAGTGCTCAAGGGAGCACAAGGCCCCCATAAACGGTCCCCCACGACTGCAGCAGGGCCTGCACTGAAATCTCCTTCACCTGTCCACTTGTTCAAGCCGCGTGTCTTACAGCAAACGCGGCACAGGCTTGTGTTCCATCCCCCTGAACTGCGGCCGGTTGGTGTGAGCAGGCCTCGCTGGCTCGGAGAGAGCAGACTCACGAGACAACAAAAGCTTCTCGGCTGCTGCAGACACCTTCCGGGTTTACCCGCCACGGTCTCTTAGTAAGAAGCCAAGAACTACAGCTAGAATCTCAGACCCGTCTCTGCCGGGGGGAGAGGCAGGGGGACAAACGGAGGGCCGAGAGGAGCTGGGATGGTGCCTCTGCCTAGAAAATAAACTGACAATTTATACCATCCAGGAGTAAGAGAGAGCAGGGCCAAGAATTTGGCTGCATTTAAGCTCATCCACCACACCAGGGGGCTGGGACAGAATCTCACATACTTGTTTTCACACGTACACCTGGGCCCTACCCTAAAATCTGAGTAGTTAGAAAGCTCCAACGGGGAAAAAGTCTGAAATGCACAATATTTAAAATGAGCAAACTGCAGACTTTTTCTTCAGGCAGGTTTTTCAGAGCCTGCTTGGTAAAAATTTGACCTGTGAACCTTACCCTCAAGGAGGCGAAAATGACTAAACTCCCTTTATTGAGGTAAATGTGTCTCCAGCAATCCTGCTGCTAAGCCCATCGTTCTTTCCAGTAATAACGAAACGGCGAGAACACTGGCCCGGTCCAACTGTGGGGCACTGAGGACAAGCGGAAAAAACCTCGTGGAATCTGACTGCCCTTAGGAGGAGGAGGAGTTGTTCTTACCACCGCCGGCCAGAAGGGGTACTTTTGGTATTTAAGCCAGACTAGCATTCCTACTTCAAACGAGCGTGGTTCTGGAATTAAAAAGAAAGAAAGAGAAAAAGAAAAACAAAGACAGAACAGATACGTCAGATCCGCATCAGGCAGCAAATGCAACAGCTTGAGACAACACAATCATCGTGATACTCTTTAAACTCGATGTTGACACAATTCGCTTAAAGACCACGAGGATCTGGAAGGTGGGTTCATAACTCCTGCCGCTGGAATCCCAGTGCCGATTACGGGCGCACTGAGTGGCGGGGAGCGAGGGACAGCGCTGCTTTCTCAGTGGGGACAACGTGCCGTGGTCACCTCGGTGGTAACATGACGGGAAGCTGGTAGGTGGGGATTCTGTCCCATCTCGGCACCTTCTCTGGAAATCTCCAATTATTCCAAAAAAAAGCATTTTTTTTAGGGGCCGGCCCAGTGGTGCAAGTGGTTAAGAGCGCGCGCTCTGCTGCGGCGGCCCGGGGTTCGCGGGTTCGGATCCCGGGCGTGCACCGACGCACCGCTCAGCAAGCCATGCTGTGGCAGCGTCCCATATAAAGTGGAGGAAGATGGGCACGGATGTCAGCCCAGGGCTGGTCTTCCTCAGCAAAAAGAGGAAGATTGGCCGATGTTAGCTCAGGGCTGATCTTCCTCACAAAAAAAAACACATTTTTTTAGAAAGTGTGGCACAAAACCAGAAAGGAGACGATGGGGCACAATGAAGCCCCAACAGGAGAACCTAATTTCTAAGAAGCTCATCTGTCTGAGTAACTGGAGTCTTAAGAGGGAAAAAAAAATTATTTACATAATCATCAGATAACTACAAAATTATTTCGGAACAAAATTTAACTATTTCTAACCAAAAAATTCCAGAATGAGTAAACAATAGAGATGTTAAAAAATCGGGTAACAAAAACTCGTAGAAAACAGAGGCTGTTCTCCACACGGAGCCAAGATCCTCTCGCTCTGACACTCTGTGGAAGAAAGGGGGAGCTGCAGTGCCTGACTATCTAACAGCTAAAAGGTCCACAGGGTGAAAAACGAGACCAAGCGAAGAGGACGCAAACTGGGAAATGCTTGCAGCAAACACGTGAAGGGTTATCACCCCAGAGGGACCGCCGGCCCCCATGAGGACAATGGCCCACGGCCCAGACGGCCAGTTCAGGGGCCAGCCAGGAAACACCAGATAGACGTTCAGGCTGCCGGGGACAAACAAAACCAAATGGAAGCAAAAAACAGGAAAAGAGCAAACACCCAGGTTTTTCGGGGCTGTGGTGACCTGACCCCGGCTGGTGGCGGCAGGGACAGAAATGCCCTTTTGGAAGAAGGCACAGTGCCCCTTCTCTGTGGCCCAGTAAGCTCCACTCCCAGGAGCTGATCCTACAGTTATTTCCCAAAAGCACACGTCATGTGCGCTGTAGTCCCCCAGGAACAATCTAGATACTCGGCGGGGGGGGGAGGTTTAGTATGTGAACACCCGTCTCTCCTAGTAAACAGTAACTAGGCGCCACTAAGAATGTCTGAGTTGTCATTAACTTAAAAAAAGGAAAACACAAACCCGTAAGTACACTGATACAGCGATTGAAACACACTCAGCGTTCGGGAGGAAGAGCTGTGCACCAAGAGCGTGCACGCAGCACGGGACCCGTGCAGAGGCCCCACACGCTGCACCCACATCAGCGTCCTGGATTTGCAGGATGTTGCTGCTGGGGAGGCTGAGGGAGAGGTCCCCCAGACCTCTCTGTACTATTTTTACAACATCTTGTGAATCTATAATTATTTCAAAATAAAAAGGTTAAAAAAAAACAAGAGACTAGACTATGTAGGATGAATGGTTAAGGGGTGAGTCTAAAAATGTAATTGGTTCTAAATTCCTTAGTTCACAAAGCAAACTGATTTCTGTTCATTGCTGCTTCGGGATCTGTGGGTCTCTATTCCCGATCCTTCCACGCAGATGGTCAGTGGCACTTACACGCATGTCTTGCCCTGGTGCAGACAGCACGTTGGGGGTGGGGGTCCCTCAGGTTGGAGATCCTGCCTCTCTGGACAGACTTGCAAATGCCATCCCCAAAGGCCCTGTGAGGCTGTGCCAGACCGCACCACCAGGCCACACCCCAACAATGCCCATCTAGTCCCCTCAGTGTCCTTCGTTCCCACTGAGGGACAGGACCAACGGAGGAAGCAGTGTGCTTAACAGGGAGGGCTGGGCTATCTCTTCCCAGGGAGTCCCTCTTCCCTTTGTGAGGTTATCCTTCAGACAGAGGAACGAAAACACGGCACTTGTTAAGGTCTCGGTTCAGCAGGAGAAAAATCCAACAGCAAGAGACCTTCAGCTGAAGACACCAGAAATGGTTTAGGACCGCCAGCCCACGTTTCCTTCCAGCGGATCGTCACAACTGAGAGCACACGGGGCACTTCTTATGGCTTACCATGGTATAAAAGGATTCGTGGTGGCTCCTCATCTTCCTCCTCTGCCTCCAGGAGAGAATTAATGGAATTAAACTCCACTGACTCTTCAGAGGACTGACGGTCTGCCAACAATGTTAGATTACACTTTCATTGTCATCGTCTTGGTGACTCATCCCAAGAAAAACATTTCATGATATGTGACCATCAACAAAAGGGAAAGCTCTCGTGTTACACAGAGTTTCGCACTGCCAGATTCAAATAGGGTTTGCTTCGATTAAAGTACATTTAAAAGAAAGAAAAACAAGAAAGAGAGGGAGGGAGAGAGACAGAGAAGGCCTTTCACGTCGTAAAGGAAAGGCGAGCGTTAGGAGCAGCAACCTAAGTTACGGGGCGTTGAATGGACTGAGGGGAACTCCTTCTGTGTGGCTATTCCTTTACGCTCTGAAGCGCTCGGTGGACACACAGGGAGTGGGGTGCAACCACGGGGTGAGCAGCAGTGCAGCCACTTTCTCTTCAGAAAATGGCAAGGAGCTGCGTGCGGATCAGGCCCCTGCGGCCTTCCAATGCTTGAAGGAGACGACCTCATGAAAGGAGTTTAGAAGAAAGGCAGAGACCTATGTGGCAAGTGTGTGGGGAGGAGACCCGGAGACACCTCACCACGCAGAAATTAAGACTTCCGAATTAGCATTTCAAAAATAAGTGGGATGCTACACTGTTAAAATGGAACAGCTCATAGCGCATGACTGCAACCACACAAAAAGTGTATCTACACGGGAATCCTCACAAAGTCAGGAGCCTTTTAAGCGAGTTAATCACTTTTGAGATTCCTGCCAATTTAACGGGAGTGCATTATCGCTTCTGCAACAGTTAAGAATGAACGAGTTAATCCCCGGGGAGCAGATGCAGCATCATTACAGCCACAAGGCTTCCCGGCGCCTGCTTCGACAACAGGGCTCCACCAGCCTCTGCCACGGGCCCCCTGCCCCATCCCCTCCCTCCGCTTCAAAACAAAAATAAAGACAGAAATGCTCGGGAGCAGTTGAGGTAATTACAGCCCCGTGGGAGGGACAAACAACGAGGAATTAGGAAATCTCTGCTCTGGATCTATTTTGGTAAGGATCTCATCGAGATCTGGTTAAAAATACACGAGTGCCCGGCTCCGAAGCCAGCCGTCGGAGAACCACAGCCACCCTCTGTGGCTCGCCCAGCACCGAGACACCACGCTCCACCAACGGACTTTTACCTTCCTCCAGGAGGTGAAAATTGCTTGTTTCCTCTGCGGGGAACTGCAGGGGAGGTGGGCCGAGTTTGGCAGCACTGCGCAGAGTCATGCGTCCCTTTGGCCCTGGCTGCTGGCTGCCGTCTGGGCACAGCTCCTTGGAGGGGCAGCCTCGGGCATCCGGGCACCCCGGGGCCAGGAGCAGAGTGGGGCCACCCAAAGGCAGACCTGGGTCTCGCCCTTCAGCCTTCAGACCCTCCTCAATTCTAGGAGGCGAGCGAGGGGCCGACGGGCTGCCTGCTTTTATCTTCCTCTCTTTTTCAGGATCTCCCTCTGAAAGTAAACGTGCATTCTGACACAAGCTGGGCTCCTGTGTCGAATTTCTTCCCCTTTTACTTGGGGTCTTCCGATCTTCCTGGTGTATTCTTGATCCACTACCATCCTGAGAACCACCTGCGGCTGCGGAGAGCACCAGGGCTCGTGGGATTTCACTTTTCCCAAACCACTTCTTGTGGTCCACTTTGCACTGGGGGTCCTTTTCACAAGCGGGCAAACCTGATAGCCTTTGGTCTACACGTTTCCTCCTCTCAGGTCCACAACTGCCTGACATGCCTTTGAGGAGAAAAGATGAAGAGCTGGGATCACAGAGCGAGGAGGCCAGTTCCTTGGGCTGCTCTCTTGGAGACACAGCAGTTCTTTCTTCCCTTGAAGAGCTTTCTTGACAAGAATTGGTTCCCTCGTTCAAAACATCCAGAGCCACTCGAAGCGACCGTCTGTAGGTCAGCTCCTCCAGGGGGTCCTCGCGAACCTCATTCTTTGAGCCTGAAGGACGGAAAATAAACAAAGCCTGGTGACATCTGGATACCTGGCCACTGCTAGCAGAGAGCACTCTACAAGCTTGGCCATTTCATTTTGACTGCTAGTTTTTGTAACTAAAGAGAGGACTAACACTTCTCACCTACATCTTCCCAAAGGAGGACAAGGTTACAAAACAGCTGTTCATTCAGGGCTGTGGGGCTCCGTTTTTTATAAAACAAACTGACTGACCCCAACCTGATTGGGTTACAGAAATAAATTCCTCCAGGTTACAAAACAATACCGCCTGCAAAATGTATTCAGATGTTTCGCAAATCCTCTCCCAGTCTTCAATTTCAAATTCAATCAGGGTCAATAAAAACCCATGCCAACTAAATAAAGAACTCCGCCGCCAATGTATTCTGGGCTGGGGGTGGGGGTGAGGACTAGCGGATGAAAAGGACTCATTGTGGGCTGGTACATTTTCCATACTTCTTTGCAAGGGCATTTCAAAGCCAGAAAAGAGCATCACGGGCCTTGAGATTTCAGCCTGACCTCCCTGCTGCAATAGTTTTATTTATTCATTCCAACACATAGATATGGTGCTATTTATTTGAACAAGATGATAGATGCAATATCGCAACTCAGCAGGCATAATACCTCAATCAACACAGTTATTTTCCCCTGTTTAATATTAAAGGCACCCATAAATAACCAGCCCCCGACACGATCTGAGCGAACAATGACAATGGCGTCCGAGAGGTGATGGTCGACACCACCTAAGGTACGTGGGGGTGGCCCCTGCTCTGAACAGCAGCTGTTTTTCCAAAGACAAGAGAAAAATAGACCCTATTTCATACACACCATTGCAAGGAATTCTGGTCAATCTTTTCACAAGACAAACAGTTCTTTGCACATGGGATAAGCACTCCCACTTTGAGGAGAGAAAAAGCATTTTTACATTTGGGTTTGCAGATCTGCGACTGGGTAGGGAGGCGGTTGCTGTTTCCTAGTGGTGTGTGTGCATGATAGGTCCCCAGCGTGGCTGGGCTCAAAGTCTCTCTCACCTATGAAATGCAAAGGGGGTGGGTGTCACTGAGTTCCATTTCCGACCGGCCTCGCCCCCACCGACGACGGCCCCAGCAGACAATGGGCGGCCAGCAATGCTGATGCCGGTCACACGGTTCTTTCTCCCCTGGGCTCAGCTACGGAATTTAAATACACGACCAACCGCTTCTCAAACCTTGGGCAGAGACCAGACCAGCAACCATTTCACAGTCTTACTATGGGATGAGCAAAAAAAAAAAAAGAGGAAAAGTCTTTCCCCCTCTCCTCAGGGAAGCGAACCCATTCCACGTCTTGTGCACCCCGGAGGCCACGGATGGGACCAGCCGATCCTGATGCTCGCAGCTGGCCATTCTGGGAGTCAAGAACAGGATCGCTTCTAGGAGCAAATTCTAGAAAGGTTTAAGAAAGTAGATCCATTTTCTTCCCCTCCTTCAGCTCACGGAATTCACGTTCCCTTGCACAAAAGGAAGAATGGTGAACAGGGTCACTTTTTACCTGGAGAGCCGAGTCTTACCTCCTCCCAAACTGTCTCTTACTTTGTTAAAACCTAACGGTTCCTTAGAGATGTGCTCTTACCTAATAAGTCAGCAATCTCGTCAATGTGAGACTTCTTCAGGATCTCGACTTGCGTGCTTTTCACCCGAATTCTGCAGGGACAGAAACAACCGTTATATGCCACCAGCCAAGGCCAGGAAGACATTTTCAAACATGTTTTTCTTTAGATGACAAAGAAATTAGATTCATTTTCTTCCTTCTCAACCTCCCACTTAAACCAGAAGTCACAGCCGACTAGGAATTCACGTGCCTGAGGTTAGAGGCAGGAAGGACCCTGGCGAATGTGATTTTTTTTTTTTCCCCTTTTAAGACAGAAAAGGTTGGCTGGATTTAGCAGTAAAAATGAATTCAAATTGTGACTTTTGTGAGGCAAATCCTACTTTCAACTGCACAAATACCTCCTTTGTTAGACTTTCAGAGTAGATGATGTCACTAAAAGCTGTTTACAGCCCAGCAGGTGTGTTTTAGTTTAAAAGGATGTGCTTCCCTTTTCAACTCGAGTATTCAATTACCTTCCCAGCCGCAGGGCGAGTGCGAGCTGGGGACTAAGGGAGCTTAGGAGGCAGCTCTGAAGAAAGAGGGACGGGGACCCAGGGAAATTGTAACTGGAGCTGGCTTGGTTTTCGTCTCTATTTAGAGTTGGGAATTCTTCCATTAGACATACCCGTACCATCATCATACACGATCCGGGCATCTTAATCATTCTAAATGATCTTATGTCCTTCCATCACTGGATAATCAAGAGCAGAACAGTAATGTGCTGCCACATCGTCTATTCGCCTTTTGAAAACTAAATAATAGTTTCTTATTAGAGGAACAGGCCCAAACATCAAATATTTCAAAATTGATAGGCCTGTCACACAAGCGTCTAAAAAAAGACACACAAATAAAGCTGTGGGAAGGAAATATCCCTATTTGAACCCCAACGAGAGTTTACCTTGCGTATAATTTATATTTATTCCATTTTTGTACTGATCTCTCTGGAGATCACAGAGAATGCCTCATATAGATCTTCAGTTTCCAAATTTACATAAAATAAAATCAGCTGTTTTCCTCTTACGGTTATCATGAGCATTAATAGTTACAAAAACTAAAGAGTTGATAAGGCCTTAAGAGTGGACTTTGCTTTTTTTCAGGGTGAGGGGACAGGGGGCGGTATCAGAAATCCCATATAGAAAAAAAAGTAGTATTACAAAAACACAACACTTAACATTTTGTCTACGGAGAGTATTTGAACATTTAGAAAAAATTCCTTTTTTCTCTTATCTTTTGTTGACGCCTTAGGTCTGGCCAAAACCTATGTTTAAAAAAAAAAAAAAAAAGATCCTTTTATTAAGATACAACAAACAGTTGACACAAAGTAAGAAGCAGTGGCAACATTAATACAAATGTAACAGATTGTTGTTAAAGCACACAACCACAGGACTTCAGCGATATCCTGTCTAATCCCAGTTATTTTGCAGGTGGGGAAACTGAGGCACAAGAGGTCAGTGGCAGACCCAGACAAGGCCCCGGGGTTTTGTCTTGTGGCTCAGCACTCCTCCTATTGCGCCGCTGGAATGTCTCCCTGACAGACTCCCATTATTTACCATCACAGGGCTCCTTGCCAGAAAGTTCCTTGAGTTACAGCCTTACATGCCTTTTTATAACTGACTCTGTGAATTTTTTTTCAGTGTGGAGGAAAAAAAGACACTTCTGGAAGTGTAACCCTGTAAGCACTCGACCAAAACCCCATTAAATGGGGAATGAGAATCAGTGCCAACAGATCCGAGCGCCAACTGTTCAGGCTCAATTATTTCACTGAAGCAACTCCTAGGTATCTCCTGATAAAGATTTTACTTGTCACTCGAAAGTCATTTCTAATTCCTGAAATTACAGAATAATGGCTGTCACCTTTGCAGGCCATGATCGCTTTTTCCATCTGCAGAGGACATACTTGGCATCCGTCATGATTTAGACTCATGTGGCAAGCGGGAATGATTTGGCACAAAGTACTTGAAGGTCTGACGCGCTGTGCCCTGCAACGAAATTTGCACGGTGGTTTATAACATCGTTTGCTGGCGCCGGGAGCGCAGAGGCAGCCCTCAAGGACAAAGGTGAGCAGGGCTTAGCCTCAAGTAGATGGTTCAATTCCGTCATCTTGCGCTGAGATGCTTGATGCCAAAAGGAAATGACTGGCCTCGGTACCTCGGGAGGCGCCCGGATTTTTTTCATAAATAAAATACAGCCAGATGCCCTCCCCACGGTGTTGTCTAGATTATTTTTAAAAGGCTCCTGAATAAATCACCTCTGTGCTGAGGCCTGCCTCTGACCCCAGCACAAGAGGCGCTTTGCGACTAAACAATCGGAGTTCACAGCCCTCCCCCCGTCGGGAGTTCCCAGTTGACCACCGAGCGGAGAAAGAAAATCGAGCAGAGAAATAAAATCGGAGGACAGCTCGGCTGCCATGTCCCTGAAAGGCCGGGGCAGCTGCAGACCGTCCACTCCAGCAACGGGAAAGACCGGCCTGCCTGTCAACAGGAGCGGAGACGACGCGGAGGGGCTCCTTTGTGCAAAGGGGGGTTCACCACAGCAGCGCAGGGGGGTTCAGTCAGCAGAGGAGGGAGTTCAGGCAGCAGAGGAGGGGTTCAGGCAGCAGAGGAGGGGGTTCAGGCAGCAGAGGAGGGGTTCAGGCAGCAGAGGAGGGGGGTTCAGGCAGCAGAGGAGGGGGTTCAGGCAGCAGAGGAGGGGTTCAGGCAGCAGAGGAGGGG